CCCCTTGTTCTCCCTCTCGTGCTTGGGCAGCATTATCTCAATTAGCTGGATGGCTGGTTTGTTATGTAGAGTGATGCTAACAGCAACGTGTGGTTGACACTTGATGACCAACGATGACCATGAATTCATTGTTGATTGTCGGAAAAACCCATCTGGTTCGCTAATGTCCTTTAGGGAAGGGAACTGCCATCCTTACCTGGTTTGGCCTACATGTGACTCCAGACCCACAACAATGTGGTTGACTCTTGAATCCCCTCTAGGCAAATAGGGATGGGCAATAAATGCTGGCCTAGCCAGCAATGCCTTTATCCTGTGACTGAATAAAGGAAAAAAAAGAAAAATAAACTTAACTGCTTTCAGTACCATTATGAATGGACAATAAATGCTGGCCTTGCCAGTGATACCCACATCCTGTGCGTGATTTAAAATAAAAAACATCATTGGTTCAATTCCCATACCAACTGAGGTTAACACAATGGATCCTTTCTCACCCTTGCCTGAGGCATGGTGACCCTTCGGTTAGTACAACTGCCAGTTGTCTCTCTGTAATGATAGACCAACCTGATGGTCTGGTTAGGATTATGGTGACTTTATTTTTAGTAGAAAATAAGTACGGTGACACTGTTAAAATTTTCAGGATCTCTGCCAGAAATGCAAAACTGTATCTTTTCTCCATGTAGTTTTTACACTGTTGCCTCTTCAAGTCAATTGTCCAAGATTTATCTTTACAGTTGAAGTCAATTAAATTCCTGAACTAACCTATGCAGAAGATAGCAGCCAAAACCTGGAGATAAAGTATAGTGGTGTTATGCAAAGATCCTTTATTCACATAAAGACACAAGTTGCCCACCCCTTTTCATATAAGACACTTTTTTTCTGTAGCAAATTTTCAATGAATAAGAACATTCATAAATTCAAAATGACCTGTTACATCATATAAAATAAAACTAATTTGCTATTATAAGGATATTTTTGTACAGAATTTAATATAATACAACATTTACATCGAATAACACACCCCACTGCTTGTCCAACATATAACCAGACAAACAATAACTCCAAAGTGCATATCCTAACCTTTGTCTAAGGTAAACAGACACACTATCTGATTGACCATCACAACATCTGATCTTTTAAAGGGGTACATGCCCAAAATGCACCTCAGGAAAAGCAGACACATGATAATATTTTTAAGTGCAACCCACAGGCAGCTAATGAGATATAACTTAATGACTACTAAAGTGTAAGGACATGTAACAAATTGAGCACAGCAAGTAATTTGTGGAATTCTTTGCGCTTTCCATTCTAACTCTGCTCAATGCCGGTTTCAAAATAAAAGCCTTGTGCTATGTGTACTAACATTAATTTATTAACCACTTATGAGGATTAATTGAGTTGTCAATTCTTGGGTTTCGATGAGCTTAACATAAATCTCATAAACATTACCTGTGTTCATTTACACACAAATAACATCAGAGTTCCAAAAAGTACAGGAACTAGTAAGTGTTACCAAAGAAGGGGTAATGGATGGCAGATAATGTTTAATTGGTGACTAACCAATCAGAATAAAAGTTCTCAGTAGGATCATCCCTTGTTTCCTTATGGACACAATCAGGAAAAGGTTCAGGATTAAACAGAAACTGCTGGAAAAGCTCAGCAGGTCTGGCAGCAACTGTGAAGAGAAATCAGAGTTAACATTTCAGGTTGAGTGACCCCTTCCTCAGGACTCCTCAGAACCAGTTCTGTGGAATAGTCACTCGACCCAAAATGTCAACTGTATTCTCTCCACAGTTGCTGCCAGACCTGCTGAGCTTTACCAGCAATTTCTGTTTTTGTTTCCGGATTTACAACATCCACAGTTCTTTCCGTTTTTAAAGGGTCAGGATTGTCAGTCAGGTTTAAATTAACAGGAAATGTAATAGAGGCTGAATTAGGTGCAGTAGCAGGGTGGCAGAACTGTCAGTAAGAGAAATCTAATATAGTATGATTGTTCCCTCGCTGGAAATAATTAAACCTGATGAGTGTCCACATAGAGCATTTAAAATGGAAAGGGATCATCATATGAGCAAGTCTAATCACTGACTTGCGTAATGAAGAAAATGTGGGCATACATTCGTAAGTGCATTTGGACTCTTCATCAGAGCAGAATCAAGCTCGCAAGCAACACCTTCAGTTTCCTTGTTCTGAATTTACAAACAAAAATTCCATATATGAGTTGCATGTTTGAAAAACGGCAGAGGCAATTTTAGATAATATTTGGATTTTCAGTTCCTGAGATTGTATTAACTGCTGAAAGAATCAGGGAGCATTTGATTCTGGGTCAGTTACCTTTTAGACCTGAATCTTCTTTAAAAAAATAACGCACTAACTCATTTTACGGTTTACACACAGTGTACAGTACGCTGGCAGAGTGTCTCAATGGCCCAGATTTTGCAGTGGTGACGATGAAACTGATAACGTTGCTCCACAGAAATTTGCAGCAACTTCTGGAGGAAGGATAGAAAATGCTGGACATACTCAGCAAGTCAGGCTGTGTTTGTGGAGAGGGAAAAACAAGTTCAGGTCATCATTGACCTGGTAAATTGGGTGCAATTAAATCTACTGGATCACACAGTCTGTTGATGCCAGGGAAATTCATGATTAAGTTTGTCTATCCCTGCATGATGTCAATTAGTCTTCATAATGGGACCCTTGACAGCAATTATCACTGGACCCAGTCGAATTGATACAAACACAGAAATTTGTGGAGAAACTCAGCAGGTCTGGGAGTACCTACTGAGAGAAAGCAGAGTTAACGTTTCGAGTCCAGTAACTTCTTCAGAACCCCAGGTGGCTCAAAGATTAAATGGTAGTTGCATGGCTTCCTTGTGCCTCTGAAGGCTGACAAATAACCCTTGCAGCCTAAGCAGAAGGTTCCCTCTTTTGAGAGGCACTAGTGCCCAATTCAAGCATTGGGGAAGGGAGGTGGGGCGAGGAGAGTGACTGCTGAAAGCCAAACCCTGCGTGTCCCCCGGCCCATATTTCCCAGCAACTCCCCCCACCCTCATCCTGCTTCAATTTCCTGTCTCCCAGAATCTAGCAATGATTCTCTGGCCCATTACTAAGTGGCCACCACTTTCAATCTTCTGTCAACGATGGAACAAGACCAACAGCCTGGAGGTGGGAGATCAGTGCTGGTGGGAGCAGGGAGCATGTTGGGATGGGGAAGTAGAAGATGGAAACAGGGGCAGGATTTCCACCTCTGACACCCAAAATCCCGTGAAAGGCCGGACACCTGCACTTAATTCCATCAGGTCTTCCCTGCCGTCGTGATCCAGGGTTCCCACTGGTTTTCCAACCAGGTGCAACTCCCGTCACCCACACGGAATCCCAGGCACTATTCTGTTTCTCTCCAAAGATGCTACCTCAGTATTTCTAGCCTTTGCTGTTTTCAGATTCCCAGCAGCTGCAGTATGTTTCCCTTGAAGTAACCCTCAGAGCCTGCTGCTGTGCAGAATAATGCAGTAATCCAAATGCTATTTGTCAGGGATTCTCCCAGACCAGAATGTTATAGCACTCCCAGGCTAACAGGAAATGTTGTGGATTTATGATAATTTCCACTTGTAATAAGACCATAAGAAATAGTAACAGGAGTAGGCCCTTCAGCCCCTCAGTCTGCTCCTCTGTTCAATAGGATCATGGCTGATCTGACATTGCTCATGTCCACTTTGCTGCCCATTCCCATATTTGCGGATTCCCTGACTGATAAAAAGTCTATCTCGGCCTTAAATGCAGTTAATTTCACTGTAAAAACGTGAAAATGTTGCACCTGATTGAATGCCCTAATATGATAAAAGATTTCAACTTTTTTTAAAAAAAAATTACCTTTTAAAAGTGTGTTCGTCTTTCATTTAGCTTCTGTCTGAATTCAATTGGAGCTATTTATTCTGCTACCTGAAAATTTAAATGAAATATGGCAGATAATCAGTGCTTTTTAATTCTTGATACTCTTTTGTCTGAATCCTGCATTGCTGCTGACGTGCTTTCTGGCATCACTGTTCTGGTCAGCGGATTTAAAATTCCCTGGGGAAAGGTCAAGTTCATGCTAAGGAGACTGCACAATCCTTCGGGGCAGCTTTCTTCGAGGTCAGGGGCGAAAGCAATTTTTTTACTGCCGACCACAAAATCTGGGCCATTGTGTTAAGTTTGCAGTAGGATCCACAGTGAAAGCATTTGGCTCTGAACCAAGACGAGATTACAATTTTCACTTAGTAGTGGTCGGATATGAATAATTGTCTTTTTCAAAAATATAAAGTAGTAAAAGCTATTTAGAAAATAAACACGCTGTTTAAAGGGTATAGACAGAGTAACATTTACAGTGAGTTTGTCTTGCGATTCTAGCTAGCTGTAAGTAACTGAAGCACAACGAGAAATATTTTCACAGCATCACATCTGACTCCCTGCCACTGGCAACTATTAGCATCAAATAAAAAGTGCAAGCGATGTAACGCAACACCTGACAAAACAGTTAACGCAGCTTTTAACAAGGTCACTTTGCCACCATTTTACCAGTGATGCCTGCTTTATGTTGTGACAGTCTAGTCACAAGTGCTGTTCTCATGTGAGTTTTTAAAAGAAGCATATCTCTTGTCGTCCGATGAATGATACCAAAATTAGCCGTTCCAAGTTGTGACTAATGAGGTGATTATTTACTGAATAATTATTTTGCTTGGCAAGAAGACAAGCCCTCGAGAGGTCGGTGTTTTAGGTAGAAAGATCACTGCAAAACATGTAGTGGCTCCTCCAGACCTGAACCAGTGGTACAACTGACTATCTGTTATCTTCCTTTTCTGGTGCATTCCTATGAACAGGACGTAGTGTATTGGCGAGAAGGAAGGATGCGTTGGGATTTTTTTTCTGTTTCTTTTTTGTAATTTGCTGTCAGTTTGCAACAGCTCCCTGTGTGAAAAGTGGCATCACCTCGCTCTGCATTGCAGAGATTCTGCTACACTCCAGCCATGTGCCCTTCATTCCTGGCACCCATTTCTCTCGGGCATGGATGAGCTACCAGGTGAGCATTTGCCCTTTACCCACAAATACACCACGGAGGTACGTCCAATTTGCAGCCTTGCATCGTCTGCCTCTGTGATTGACCTTGGTTACCGCGGCAACTGAATGTTGTGCAATTCCGAGAGGCCACTGGTGTTGCTTTGCGTCCCATGGGTTTGGTGTTGTGAGAGGTAGCCCATGTTCACCTGTGGTGCTGATCCCAGGAAAAGAGGTTGCGACTGGTCACCTTGCATCATTCCACTCGGTGGCACTTGCTAAAAAAACAAAAAACATTTTGTCACAAATTGATTCATTCCGACTCTACGCCAAAAGCATTAGTGTGTAAAAGTCTTCAGCTTCCTCGCTTTTTATGTTTGTTCCCCATCCCTTCCATCTACCTTTTCCCAAGACCTCTACAAACAGGCTCTCCAACTGTAACCTGCTGAAATGTAGAACATAGGAGCAGTAGTAGGCCATTCAGCCCATCAAGCCTGGTCCGCCATTCAAGGTGACCATGGCTGATCCTCTATCTCAATGGGCACACATCAGCTCTCTCTTCACACATCTTGCCACCTCTAACTTCCAAAAATCTATCTCTTCCTTACGCATATTCAGTGACCTCACAGCTTTCTGTTGTAGAAAATTCCACAGATGCCCTGGCTTCTGAGTCAAGAAATTTTTCCCATCCCAGTCTGAAAAGGACAACGTTGTATTCGGAGAACAATGCCCCTTGTTCTGGGCTTCCCCACCAAAGATAGGGGAAAACATCATCCCTCCATCATCCCTCTATCCAGCCCTGTCAGAATTTTATATATTTCAATGAGATCTCCTCACATTCTTCCAAACTACAGTAATTAGAGGCCCAGTCAAATCAATCTCACATCAGACAAACCCACCATCCCTGGAATCAGTCTAGTGAATGGTCACTGAACTCCCTCCATGGAAGAATATTTTCAATTCGGTAAGGAAACCAAAACTGCACAAGGTAATCTAGCCATTAACATGGCCCAAACCGGCCTCCATGACAAAGATCAAGCCCCTGTTTTGTGTCTCACACCCTATGGCATGGCAAAGAGTAAGAAAGCATTCAACAGGGAATGTACCCACATTGCATCTGCATTTGGAAAGCAGGTGGGTCATTGCATCACTAAGTTGCTGAGAATTTGGGGTTGAAAGAAAAACTATTACAGTGTGACCAAAGAGGCCACCCCTGAGAACATTGAGATAATGCAGAAGGGATTTACTAGATTTACCTCAGACAAGGGACTTCATTTATGTGGAGAGAAAACTGGATCTGTTCTCGTTAAATCAGAAGCTGACAGGGAGATGTGACAGGGGTGTTGAAAATCATGAATCACTTTTGACAAGAGCAAACAAAGGGGAAGTGGGCCAGAATCTTCTGGAAACAATGGGAGTAGTCTCAGCTGCTGGAAGGCCAGACCCTGCTTCAATACACTCACCACATGGTGTCCCACTCCGGCACTTACCTGGCCAGCAGCAAGCCTTCCTCAAGGACCCCACGAGCAAAAGGCTGAAAGGTGACAGTGAATCAGAGCCACCAACGATGTGGGGAGAGGTGCAGGAAAGATATTCCAAAGCCTTGGGTCCTAAGCAACTGAAGGCACACCACCAGTGATGACTTGATTAAAATTAGGTCTAATCAAGAGACCAGAAATGGATGGATGCAGACATTTCAGGGAGTGGGGAGTAAGCAGCAGGGCAGAAAACTGGAAATAAGGATGAAAATTTTGAAAACAAATGTTGTTTCAGTGGGAGCCACTATATGTCATGAAGTGTTGGGGTAATCTGTGCACAAGGCCTAGTGCCAGGTTAGACACAGGTAGCACAGTTTTAGATGTCCTTTGAGTTTACAGTGGGTAGAATGTGTGATCAGCCAGAAGTGCATTGGAATCTGTCAAGTCTAGAGGTTCCAAAGGCATGTATGAGGGTTTCAGTAGCAAGAGCTGAGGCAGAAATGAAGTCAGGCAATGTAACAGAGATGGGAAAAGCATCAAATGTTAATTTTTGAGTTACATATGTCACCAATGTTGTGAAAAGATTGGCGTAGTTTCAGACCATTGGCAGAGATAGGGATGGAATCAGTAAGTAGGGAATGCATTCAATTTTCCCAATATTTAATTGAAGGAAATAGATGGCAACAGGTAGGGAACTGAAGATAGATCCATGGGGAAAAAACATAGAAGTAAGGATGCAAAAGCATGAAGCATTGTTATTGCAGATTATTCTCTGACTATGACTGGACAGTTAAGAATGGAACTAGGGAATGCAGTTCCACCAAACTGGACAATAGTGTGAATGGGTGTTGGAGGAGGGTCAACCATGTTAAAAGCTGCAGAAAGGTTGAGGAAAATAAGAAGAGAAGCGACAGTTTACTTTTGTACCAATTACACACCATATCTTTGTGAGAACCATGTTGGCACTGTAGCAGAAATATAACTCTAATTGAGAGATGGCTTTGTGAGAAAGCTGAGCATAAATTGGTGAGGCAACAACATGTTCAAGGACCCTCAAGAAGTTGTCGATGGGGTGATAGTTTGCAAAGCTGGAATGATCGAAGCTTTTTTTAAAAAACTTAAGGTCAATGTCATATTAATGTTTATTTCTCCTCTTAATGTACTGAAGGGAAAGGAGTTCTCATGATATGATATTTCTTGTGTCAATGAGGTCACAAAATCTTCAGATGTTGGTAACACTGTTTACTGCCTGCATCCTGAAGGTAGTGTTTCCCTTTGTGGTTCATAGACTGTGATGGGACTTGGTACCTGAAGATATTGATGTCGCTGCTGAAGCTGCATGGAATGATGGCTGTGTCGCTGTGGAATAGAGGCTTGCTGGTGTGAGGAGAAATTTGGATGCTGGATGGCCACGGAACTAGGAGAAGGGACGATGACTGCGCTACAGCTGGTTGGTTGCATTGCTAGTGCCGTCAGCATCTGCTGATCTTGGATAAATCTGAAAATACAAAATTCACAAAGAAGGATTCACTGAACATTTGATACATGTAACATTTGTTAAATTCATCTGACTAATTTAACATAATCTGGTCATTGATAACCTGCAGCAGACCGATTGTTTGCATATCGATGTAGGAATAACAAATTATTTAAAGGAATGCCAGATAGTAGTGTCTTTCAGGGCTGTGTGATACTTCAGTTTCATATGTGGTAGCCAGTGCACAAACTGAGCATTAACTATCCATAATCACGTTTAAGAGGAAAATGTACAGTTCTAAAAGATAGGATTTACATGCATTTGGAGAGGCAAGAAATGAAACTGTTTTTCTTCATTTCTCAATTCTGTAATTAAGGATTCTACGGAGGAACCTTAGTACCTAAGATGGCACTGTAAGTGGCGACTTGTAAACTTTTCACTGTACTCATTTGAGTACATGTGACAATAAAACTAATTCAACAATAAAGCTAATTCAAATGATTTAGGATAGTCAGCCTGGTTTTGTGCGAGGGAAATCATGTCTCACAAACTTGATTGAGTTTTTAGAGGAAGTAACCAAAAAGATTAATGAGGAAAGAGTGGTAGATGTTGTTTACTTGGACTCTAGTAAAGCCTTTGACAAGGTTCTGCATGATAGACTAATTAGTAACTTTAGATCACATGGGATTCAGGGTGAGCTTGTCAGTTGGAAATAAAATTGGCTTAACGGTAGGAGACAGAGGGTGATGGTAGAGGGTTGTTTCTGTTGGACTGGAGGCCTGTGACCAGCAGGGATTGGTATTGGGTCCATTTTTGTTTGTCATTTTTATAAATGATTTGGATGAGAACATGGGAGGCATATTTGTAAGTTTGCAGATGACACCAAAATCGGTGGTATAGTGGACAGTTAAGAAGGTTATCTAAGATTACAAAGAGATCTTGATCAATTGGGTCAAAGGGCTGAGGATTGGCAGATGGGGTTTAATTTGGATAAATGCGAGGTATTGCATTTTGGTAAAAACAAACAAGGGCAGGACTTATACAGTTAATGGTGGGGCCTTGGGTAGTGTTGTAGAACAGAGAGACCTAGGATTCAGGTACATAATTCTTTGAAATTTGCGTCACAGGTAGACAGGGTGGTTAAGACGGCATTTAGTACGCTTGCCTTCACTGCTTAGACCTTTCAGTGTAGGAGTTGGGATGTCATGTTGAGGTTGAAGAGGCCTCTTGCAGAGTATTGTGTGCAGTTGCCCTCCTATAGGAAGGATATTATTAAACTAGAGAGCGTTCAGAAAAGATTTGCCAGGGATGTTGCTGGGAATGGAGGGTTTGAGTTATACAAATAGGCTGGATAGGCTGGAGCACAGGAGGTTGAGGGTTGACACTATAGAAGTTTATAAAATCATGAGGGTCATAGATAAGGTGAATAGCAAAGATCTTTTTTCCCCAAAGATGGGGGATTGCAAAACAGGGGGGCATATATTTAAGGTGAGAGGGAAAAGATTTAAAAAGGACATGAGGGGCAACATTTTTTGCATAGAGAGTGGTTCATGTGTGGAATGAACTGCCAGACAAAGTGGTGGATGTAGGTACAGTTACATTGTTTAAAAGACATTTGAAAAGGTTTGGAGGGATGTGGGCCAAATGCAGGCAGCTGGGACTAGTTGAGTTTGGGAACATGATCAGCGTGGATTAGTTGGAAGCAAAGAGTCTGTTTCTATGTTGCATGACTCTCTGACTCTAGATATCTTCCTGGAGGATGTTTGTAAACCAATTAGGTTTTTAATGACAGGCCTGTAGTTTCATGATCGTTATTAATGAGGCTAACAGATGTAGTGACTAATTGAATTTAAATTCCCCAAGCTGCCACGGTAGGATGGAAGCACTCATCTGCAGATCAGTTCAGAGTCCTAAATTACTAGTCTACATTACAGAAGAGGAAATGCTGGAGGTCTTAGAAAACATAAAGCAGGATGAATCTACTAAACCTGATCAAGTGTGTCCCGGGACATTGTGGGAAGTTTAGGGAGGAAATTGCAGGGCCCCTCGCAGATATATTTGTATCATCTATAATCATGGGTGAGGTGCCAGAGGACTGGAGGGTAGCTAATGTTGTGCCTTTATTTAAGAAAGGCTGTAAGGAGAAGCCTGGGAACCGTAGACCTGTGAACCTGACAACAGCGGTGGGTATGTTGCTGGAGGTGATTGTGAAAGACAGGATTTGCGTGCATTTGGAGAGGCAAGGACTGATTAGGGAGGGATAGCACGGTTTTGTGCATGAGAAATCATTACCATTGTGACACTATCCTCCTCATGGGACATAACTAATCTGCATCTACTATCGGTCATAGATATTTGTACAGCGTTGGGCTCAATATAATCATTGTGAAATAAAACAAAGAACTGCAGATGCTGGAGATCTGAAGCAAAATCAGAAATTGCTGGAGAACTCAGCAGGTCGGGCACCATCTGTGGAGAGAGAAACAAAGTGCCATATCTTTCTGTGGACAGCACAGTGGCTCAGTGGTTAGCATTGCTGTCTCACAACACCAGTGACCTGGATTTGATCCCTGCCTTGGGTGACTGCCTGTGTGGAGTTTGCACGTTCTCTCTGTGTCTGCATGGGGTTTCTGCTGGGTGCTCTGGTTTCCTCCCACAGTCCAAAGATGTGCAGGTTAGGCAGATTGGCCATGCTAAATTGCCCGTAGTGTTCAGGGATGCGTAGATTTAGGTGGGTTACAGGGAAAAGAGGTGGGGGATGGGTTTGGGTGGGATGCTCTTCAGAGGGTCAGTGTGGACTTTTTGGGATGAAGGGCCTGTTTCCACACTGTAGGGATTCTATGATCTTAATGTTTTGTGTCCAGTGACCATTATTCAGAACACATCTGTATAACAGCATCAAAAAACAGAGATTGCTGGAAAAGTTCAGCAGGTCTAGCAGCATCTGTGAAGAGAAATCAGACTTAACATTTTGGGTCTGGTGATCCTTCCTCAGAACTGTATAACAGCATCATTCACAGTGATTTTTAGGCTACTGTATCTAATGCTTTCAGGAGCCTACTGTGTGTTTATCCAGCAATACTCTGAGTCAATATCAAAATGCTTACTTGGCCTGTTGTCTCGTTGTATTATTCTGGGATAGCTGTTCTGTTTCACTGCTGTTTGGCATTATGGGATGAATGGGTTGATTCAAAAATAATCTGGAAAAGACCAAGTGAAAAATGATGGTAAAACTTCTCTTTCTTCTTTGTGAAAGGTGTGTGTGGAATATTCTTCACTCAGTTGACATGTATTGGCAGCTGAACACAGCTGTAATATTTTTGAGCAGTTCAGGTTGGGTTCTTAACATTGGATAAAAAGTTCATGTACACGAGGAAAACTGGAATGTTGAGTTACAACCTTAAATTGACTACTAGCAAGATTTAATAAAGGCAAAACACTGCAGATACTGGAGATCTGACATAAAAACAAAGTGGTGGAAACAGTCATTAGGTCTGGTGGCATCGGTGGACAGAGAAACCAAGTTAACGTTTTGAGTCAAATATGACCATTCAAAGAACTGCTGTAGGTGGAAGCAGTGGCATTGTGGTAATGTCACTGAGCTAGTAATTTAGAACTCCAAGCTAATGTTCTGGAGCCATAGGTTTGAAACCCGGATGGTGACATACGAATTCAATAACATCTGGAATTAAAAGAAAGCTGGCCTAACAGCGACCGTGTAATGTTTGTTGTAAAAATCCATCCGGCTCACTAATGTCCTTTAGGGATGGAAATCTGCCATCCTTACCCTGTCTGGCCTACGTGTGGCTCCAGACCCACAGCAATGTGACTCTTAACTTCCCTCTAAAATGGCCCAGCAAGCTATTCAGGTCAAGGGCAAAGCATCCCACTTGATTGACGTATCCACTCCATCCACCACCGACGCTCAGTAGCAGCAGTGTGTACTATCTACAAGATGCACTGCAGAAATTCACCAAAGATCCTTAGACAGCACCTTCCAAACCCACGACCACTTCCATCTAGAAGGATAAGGGCAGCAGATACATGGGAACACCACCACCTTCAAGTTCTCCTCCAAGCCACTCACCGTCCTGACGTGGAAATATATTGCTGTTCCTTCAGAGTCACTGGATCCAAATCCTGGAATTCCCTCCCTAATGGCATTGTGGGTCAACCCACAGCAGGTGGACTGCAGCGGTTCAGGAAGGCAGCTCACCACCACCTTCTCAAGGGCAACTAGGGACGGGCAATAAATGCTGGCCAGCCAGTGACACCCACATCCCATGTACAAATAAAAAAAAGTCTTATTTCTCTCTCCACTGATGCTGCCAGACTGGCTGAGTATTTCCGGAACTTCCTGTTTTTATTAATAAAAATAGTTCTTTTCAGTTTGCAACCTTATTTACAACTTCCCTCAGACAGATACAGTGACACAGACCAATTATAACTAGAGAGTTGTCACCACATGATAAAAGGTACTCAATGTTTTATAACATCTGACAGAAGGTTTCATAATGATACCAGTTATTTCCCAACAGCAGTTTATTACCATTAAAGTGATTTTGAATATATATTATTTGTCAGATTTATAATGAACATAATGGGAGAGCAAATTTAATTTAGTGCTGGACCTAATGCCAAAACTCATTACTCATTGACGAAAAAAGAAGTTGTTGAGGTTTTTCATCTTTTACTCATCAGGGCAAATGCAAGAACACCAAATGTCGAAGGATCACAACCATTTGTACTGCAGGAGGATGAGGTGTCAGTTGGTTGGCAAGGTGATCTGGATTTGCCAAAAGACTGCCAGGCAGAAAGCAACAGGGATCTATAGGCTCCCCATGCTCCCAGAGAATTAAAAAATAAGCATTATTTAGCACTTGTTACACTTGAAATGTTCGATAAGAAAGAAATAGGCATTGGAAAATAGTTCATGAGGAAGGGGAGGGGAATCACAGGCAAGGCCAAACGGATGTTTACCTTAATGTGAAGACCAGCAAGTTGAGATGGTTTTGGAAGGGGATTACAAAGGTCAGGAGTGTAATTCCTGTGAGTTTAGTTTCTGTTGCGCGAATGAAGGTGAATAGGCTACAAACTGTAATGTTCAATCAGGCGGATTAGCAAAATAGATTGGCGCATGCAGTTCGAAGGAAACCCTTTGGATAGAATTGACCAGAACATGGAGCGATTTGTAAATAAGACCAGGAATCATCAAATTGATCTTGGCTTCAATGGAATAGTGGTGACGGTTGGCAACACTTTGTGAGAAAGGCCATGGACTTCAGACTTCTGATTGACATGTGGTGGGGAGGGGATTGAGTAACGTGCAGTTGAGCAAGTTATCCTCACATTGACCAAAGTGTGCATGTGGACTTCAGGGGCAAGATAACAGAAATAGTTTTGTCGGTGGCAGAAAATCTAGCTCAGGGTTGAACGGGAGAATAAGCTGTGCCAAGGTGCACAGTCAGGGAGGCTGGTGGAGGGGGAGCTAGACAGTAACAAAACACAAACACAATGGTATCAATGGTGTCTACAGTATTCACCCAGACATTGTGTTTGGCAAACTATTGCATCTTAGTATAACAGCTATTATCATTTAGACCCAGAGCTTGTGAATGATGTGGCCAAAGGTACAATTTCGATAATGATGGCAGTAGTGAGGATGAATCCCAAGTTAGCATGTTTACCCATGCAAATATGGCCTAAGAACCCAATTAAGGGAGTAGACCACAGAGAGAAGGGACTGTTGGAAAATAGAGTCATCTACAAGGTAAGAGGTTGCAGACAGAATGTTGTTGGGTAGCAAGCCACAGTGCAAATATAAATTAATATCATGATCTAAGTAGTGATGATAGCAGATAAAAATAGAACTGATCTGTAACAGAACTCAGATCATCTGTCATTAATGACAAAAATAACAGCTCTTAAAGTCAGTCACATTTCTACTAGGAGCTACGAGGGACTGTGCTCTGGAAACAGTGCAACATACCAAAAAGTACTTAAGAGGAATGTAGCCCTATGGTTAGCTTTAAGAACTCATTAATGTGCCCTTAGCCTGTTAGCTGAATCACTTAAATAATCTAACCAGCGCTCGGAATAATTTCTGTCCTAAGAAACATAATTATTTTATTCACTTACTCATACTTTATGGGCAGATGTCAAGTTTGCATTCTTTGTAATATTGGCAATGGCCGTTGGTAGTAATGTTAGAAAGTGTGGTCTTGTTAATCAACCATGGTCAGTGCCCTGCCTACTCTGTGTGACTCAAATTAATTGGTCTTTCCTTAGCTCTCAAATCATGCAACAACTGCTGCAAGAATTGTACCTTAATTGTCGGTCATGTCCATATTCTGGAGATGAGTGGCTCTGACTAACGTCAGATGGCAGTGGAATAGGGCAGGGTACTGTTGGAGTCTGGGCAAACATCGTGGGGTTACTAAAGAGTGGTGTGATCCGATTGGTATGTGAGTGGATTTGCAAGCTGGCTTGTTGCAGTTGATCTCCTTTCATGAACTGCTGCTGAACCTGCAGAAATGAACAATCAGTTAACCCTTGTGCAATAGGTTTCCAATTACAAAGTGTTTGTTCCCAACGCAGAACAGAGGCGCTGCCATTAAAGATGACCTACCACCCATGGCCAGTTGCACCCATAGTGTCATGCCATTATCAGAACAGTAATTTTTTTTTAAACAAGTAGATATCACTGGTAAAGCAGTGAACAGAGAATACAAACATCATGGCACCTGTTGTGTATTTTCCCTGATTCTGAAGCAATTTGATTTCACTCTGTAACATACTACAAAGGCACCCAGACTGAAAGCAGTTTAGATTAACCCATCCGATCTGCAGCTAACTAATGATGATACTCTCTACACCATTCACACCAATACATTTTGCCATTTAATTACATCTAGAGCAAAAAAAACATTTCAGGCAACCTGTTGAATCATCCTAAACTTTCTAATGTTGGTAGAAATATTCTCCACAGGCTTGTGAGTTGCTCCACCTAGTGTTGGTGGCATTGATTACAAATGCAGGGATCTTCCGATCTTAACAGATTCTAAACTGCAGCCACTGATCTTGTAATCCAGAACCCCGGGTTCATGCTCTGAGGAAATAGGTTTAAGTCCCACCATTGCAGGGAGTGAAATTTGAATTCAATAAAAATCTAGGATAAAAAGACTGGCCTAATTGTGACAATGTAACTACTGTCAATTGTCGAGAAAATCCATCTGGTTCACACATGTCCTTAAGGGAAGGAAACTGCCATCCTTAACTGGTCTGGCCTACATGTGACTCCAGACCCACAGCAATATGGTTGATTCTTAGGGTAATTAGGAATGGGCAATAAATGGTTAAGGGAGTGATCAACAAATGGTGGCTTAGCCGTCAACACCCACATGAACAAATAAAAAGTACACAAGAATTGTGCTCTCAATCGCAGTTGTAAAGGTAATAATTAATCCAGCGTCAATACGGGACAAAGTTTAACAATTTAGATGTGGCAGTGTTTTCAAATTTCACTCCTGAAAGGTCCAACTCTAATTTTTCAGACTATGCTCCCTGATCCCAGACTCCCCGGTCGATAGAAACACATTTTCTCTATTTCCTTAATGGATATCAAAAAATTAAGAACAACATCAAAAAACTGAAGTGTGCGATGAGGAGATTTTCTCTTTGACAAGAAGGTTTATTAAGACTGACCAGGCAGTGGACAGGAAGTAAAGATAACAAAGTTCTCAAAAGGGAAGTCAACAGATAATTTGAAAAATAAATTCTTGAAAAGAGCAAGAAAATATCAATGGAATAATATCTAAAACTAGAGCGGATACTATTCGCTGAATAATCAGTGTGGGTTTAATATCCTACAACTTATTGAAATATGTTTACTCAGTGAAAAAAACTTTGATCACGAGGTTTTTGATTTATGATATCGGTCAACACATGGTATTAATACATAAGGCCTTGGTTTCAATACCAATCCCTCCATGAAGCTGCTGAATAATGAGTTTATAATCTAAGTTTAGATCATGGCTCTGATGTTTAATGGAGATGAGACATTGAGCTAAGTGGCAAGAGGAATGGTGGTGTATTTGTGTTGATGCATTTAATGTCTTGTTCTACATCTTTGATAATATCCAGCTTATGGTATAGGGCATAACATTTTGACATAGATAACAGATTGGCTTGCTCGGAATAGAGATGGGTTATGTGAGCTGCCAAAAATAGGGTAAATGGAGTCCAGGCAGTCTCCACTTTGCAAACTGGTTCCGTTGTATGCAAGTCAGAACACATTGCAGTACAATATAAAGAAGCTGTTCCTAAGTACAGGAAATATTGATATGTCAGATCTTTAAAATTATCATAAGTACGAGTGTTTGTAAGTTGGATGTTCATAACACAGTGACCCCCTCTATATATTGTGGGCAATAATGAAATTGTCAATTTTGGCAGGAAGGATAAAAAAGAAGCACAATATCTACATGATGAGAAAATGCAGGGCTCTGAGTTACAGAGAGATTTGGGCATTCCTATGTATCAATTGCCAAATGTTAACATGCAGGTACAGCAAATAATTAGGAAAGCTGTGAGAATATTGTAATTTCTTCTAAGTGGAACTGAATACATGATGGGAGGGGTTGTGCTTCAATTATACAGTTATACATTGGTGAGATCCCATCTGGCCCTTGGATTTGCCCATCTAAATGCATTTCAAGACACCTAACATTTCCTCCTTCATTAAGTTGACCTACCCGAGAGTATTCACACACCTTTCCCTAAGCTCAACGTCCCTCAAGTCCCTTTCTTTGGTAAATACCGATTTAAGTACTCAGTCAGGATCTCACCCATTTCCTCTGGCTCCTCACATAACCTCCCTCCTTTTTCCTTGAATGGGCCTGCTCTTTCACTAGCTACTATCTTGTTCCTAATTTATGTATAAAATGCCTTGACATTCTCCTTAACTCCACTGGCTAAGGATATTTCAGCCCCTTTTAGCCCATCCTAACTCCCAGTTTGAGCTCCTTCCTACTTTCTCCATATTCCTCAACTTTGTTTTATCTATTTTTAGTTGCCTAAACCTTAGGAATGCTTCCTTTTTTTTGACTGAACTTATAATTTCCCATGTCATCTAAGGTCACCTGATGAAGGAGCAGCACTCTGAAAGCTTGTGATTTCAAATAAACCTGTTGGACTATAACCTGGTGTCACGTGACTTCTGACTTTGCCCACCGCACCCCCGCCAACATTGTTGAGAGCGAACGTATCAAATGGACCCATGAGGAGATAATTAATCCTTATGAGTCACACTGCAAGTATGGCAAACCACAGACAGGTCCATCTGGTTTCAGACACCTACAATGACTCAGAGATAGTAGGAACTGCAGATGCTGGAGAATCTGAGATTACAAGGTGTAGAGCTGGATGAACACAGCAGGCCAAGCAGCATCAGAGGAGCAGGAAGGCTGACGTTTTGGGCCTCGACCCTTCTG